GTATTGCAAAGGCAATCATAACTTCCTCTGCAAAAGTCTGTCCCTATGGACTTTAGTGCACTTTCAACAATGTGAAGAGACATTTTAAGGTTTCCTTACAGTACTGGCTATTGATCATTATTCTAACATCAATATTTACTTCAGGAGGAGAGCACCAAGAAAGGTTTCTCCTCTTGTTCTTCACCTCTTTTTCTTCTTCCTCACCTCTTCTTCTTGACATAATACACACTCAGAAATATGAAACAGTCACAGCAGCAAGCATGCAAAAATGCTTCTTGTAAAAGCACTTTGGTTCCTCGAGAACTAGTGTCATTTTCTCTGTGCTTTTGATGCAGAGATTATAGCCTGATAGTAAGGGTCTCAACACTAAGTTCAAAACCAAGTAACTTGTAGAGAAACATACACAGTAAACTATCACCTTCAGCTCCTAATCAGTAAACAAAACATAATGTTCATTCATGTGTAGACATGAACTCTACATATACAAAAAAAAAAAAAAGGGGATTTTTCAAGTATTACTCCATAGTTATTTTTGTTACCAGTTGATAGAAATACAGGAACATTTTCCTTAAGTGCTATGAACTCTACTAGGTTCCAGAGAAATAGAATTAGATTTGTTTTCTGGTTGTCATTCAGTTCCAGACATAATAGCCTTGTACTTGCTGCATACGATAATTATGCAGAGTAAGAATATGACTTGATTATGACCTTGGTCTGCAGTAAAGCCAAGAAAATTTATTCTAAATGTTTTTGTGCTAAATAGGATTCACTGTCTGGTAGTAGTGAAAAGGCTGGATGTGGCTATTTGATTTTGGTTTTGCTTGTCTTCTGATTTATGTTGCATGGCAGTCAGGTTCAGATAAATGCTGTGTGGTTAGAATTTTGGGGGGGGGGGGGGGGGGCAGAGAAGGAGGGAATCAAGATTCCTAGGAACTGCTTTTGATTATTTTAAGGATTCCTTGAACGATGGAATAGTCAATATTGTTATTCTTATTCCCTTAAAAAATAATAGTGTCAAGCATGAGAATATTAATGAAGATAGACAGCCTGGCTTCAGGAACACAACATTATTCCTGTGTTTATAACACAAGGCTGTTCATTCGTATGCATTTATATGCAGGCTGTGCTCTGTAAGCTATTCTTCTCCCTTGATTCCCATGCTTGCATTCCCTCCACTGAACTTCATCAGGTTTTCAGGCAGCCACTGGGACCTTGACCACTGCACCTGGGACTACATGTTTGGAGGGGTGCAGCATGGAATGTGCTGAAGATGGCCCTCTGGCCCTTTGGAGCTACTTTAGGCACAGTAGACCAAGTCATTGAAACAATATTGGTCACTGAGATAGGAAAGAGGTCAATAAACTAGCTGCTATTAGGTTGTTAGTATTTTATTTTATTTTTTTCTTAGATAACACAAATTTAAGACTCAGTAGCATTTTCAGTAGTATATTAATTATTGAAACATGATTATTTATTGAATCTAAATTATTTCATGGCCTGTGCAAAGCAGGATGACTAAAGCTTGAAGTTGTGTGGATAATTCTGAGCAGTAAGGGAGAAACTAATAAAACCTTCACTTTCTCAACTTGCAGCCAGATGTTTCAACTTTTTAATACCTTCAGTCAAAATATGTGAAAAGAACAGTTCAGTTACAGTCTTAAAAGCAAATTTGAAGTTTTTATCCAGCACACAAAGGCAGAATTGTTCATCTCCATCTAGTATTAGTCATTCCAAAAGACATTTTAAATAAGGTAGGTTTAAAAATAAACAATTAATAAGACAGTGAGATAAAAATGTTCATCAGAAATTCCTCCAAAGATAAACATTTTCACTGGTGTCAGAAACTCAGGCCACTAAGCCTGAATTTTCAGATGTGTCCACCTAGAACATGTGGATTTGTTCTTGTCTATTACAATATGCTTCTCTCAACTTTTATAGATATCATTCCTCAGATCCTAACAAGATTTAATATCCTGGTTGGAGTAAGACAGGAAATGTCCTAGACACTTGGAAGACATGGTTTGTGCTCCACAGAAGATACAGTGAGAAAAAATAGATATCAAGTGTATAGGCTAAAGAAATAGAAGCAAAAAGTGATCAAGGTGATGATGAACAGATGTGTTATTGCTAACATATTTGCATGTTGATTTAAAAAAATAAATAAATAAATAAGTGAACCACAACATATTCTCTTACCCTCTTCTTTGCATCCCAGACTGGTTTTTAGAACTTTCTGGTTTCACACCAAGTAAGCCACTAACAATCTACAGTTTGTAAGTCAATTCCCAAGATTTGAAGTCATGAAAGATAGGGATATTGAGTGCCCTTTATTCTTCCACTGCCAAAATTCTACCTCTGCAAATGATCAGTTCATTTACAGAGAGACTCAGTTCAATTCTTATAAGAATATTGAAAATAGAGATTTTTCTTTAGGAAGCCAACAGGGATTCCAGGGATGGGCGAGAAACCACAATTACTCTACCTGCCCTCAGTGTTGGTGATTAGCTACAGACTGAACCATTTCAGCTTTTCCAGGTAGCATGGGTGAGAAATCAAGTAGTAGGAAAGTTTTAAAAATGCAAAATCCACCTAACCATAAAAAAAGAGAGAAACTCTGGAGTGCCACCTTCCAAAGTGATGCTGTGCTTGAGTGACCATCCAGCCAAAGGTCATTTACTTGTAATATATAATGAGAAGCGCTGTGCATTTTGACCCAATTTACTAGAATCTTTACTTTGATCTTTTACTGAGATGCCACATTTACCTAGCCAAGAGGTACCCTGGCCAGACTCCTAGAATAAGGTGAATGTATAAACCTATTTTAATAGACATTACTGCCTCAGGAGGTTCCTGGCATACCAGGAGCTTCAGCTGCCTGTGGCTGCGTGTCCTTAGCTGGTCTTTCTATTACAGCTGGGTGTCAAATAAAACCCATTTGGCAATTGGATTTACAATTAAAACAGAACTAAGTACAGGGTATTGGCCCTGTTGGGAGGGGCAGACTCTCTCTGATGCTAGAAAGGGAATGAGAACCACTTTATTATGTGTGGTCCCACGGTTCTCAGAAGAGGTTCTGCACATCCTTTCTTATTTCAAAGACAATGTCATGACAGATCAGAACAATATGATCTAGACAGGAGCCAGAACATATTACACGTGGATAAACTGTTACACTTACGATCATGTGAGGATGTAATCCTGTTAGAGTTTCTCTACAGAATCAAGTCAACTTACAAAATTGTCAAGGAACCACTCTTGACTGAAATATGCTTGCAAGAGAGAAAGCCTTGAATACCAGACTAGTTAATCTTACTAACTGCTGTCCCAGAAAAGGACAGCATGTAATATAGGCATATGGTGTATTTGCCATTTGAAGGCATAATGATAAACTAGAGGACTTTTCTAGGACTCGCTTTTTATCTCCAACTGTTCCAGACTTGATGCTGATACCTGATGATGTTCCAAATAAATATAGTAATCTACAAGTACAAAGTTGCTGGGTTATAACATATTGACTCCTAAAGAGACTTTCTGTACTTCCAGTCCCATGCCGCATTTGGGACATGTTACAACCTCTGCAGTTGTAACAGGAATAAACAAAAAAATACTAAAAACAAACAAACAAACAAACAAACAAAAACACTTTTATGTACTTCTAAGATATATCTCTTGTGGTTCTGGAAAGGATGGGTGGTGCTTACATGGTTTAAATAAAGAAAAACAGAATTTTAAAGATTTTTTTCTGTTCACGGAAATTCTGTTTTACTGAAATCGCAGACAGTGAATTTTGAGCTGAGTCAAAAAAATCTGGAAAAATACTGTGCTTAGGTAACTACAGTTGAACACACTGAGGTCTACAGATGCTTGGTACTTGTTTATGTACTTCATTTTTAGTTCAAGTATGTAAAATGTGTCCTGTTCTCTTTTTAGTCTTTTTTTTTTTTTTTTTTTTTTAACTCCAGTCAGTTGAAACAACATATAAGACAAGATAGCATCAAGCAATACAGTATCTTCCATTGTATGATTTAGAGTTGAATTGTTTGGTTATAGATCTGAATAACAAATAGTATCTTGGAAGGTTAAAGTTGAAAAGTATGCTTAAAAGCTGAGAGCTCATCTACACTAGAATTAACAAATTTGTGTATGAAGCCATTCAGACTACACTTTAGCAAAGTTAAAAGTATCTAAACTTTATGGTTTGAAAGAAAATTCTTTCCAGAAAAAACTGCTGTAGTCTGAGCTGATATCCTAAAACACTAATGTAGCAGATGTAAGCCAGTTTCATTTAGTGGAATGTTAGTTCTGAAGTCTGTTGACAGCACAGTTCACATTAGAAGCAATATCAAGATGATAGTTTTAGCAAAAATATGTCTTACAGCAGTGTATATTGCACTTGTAGATTACCATAATTTATTAAAAGATTCCCCTCATATGTAGCTAGCTTACTGTAGTGAGCTGCAATAATCTTGCAGTGTGCAAGACTGGAGGTGAATACACACGATGGCTTTATGCAAATAGGGCCAGAACATTCCAGAGTCTGGTAGGAAATGAAAAAAAAATCAACCACAGTGTGTGATTAAATAGGACAGTCTGGAGTCTAGTCTGTCAGGCAGCAGTGAATGCAGCTCATTGGAGTTAGTGGTTCTGTGAAAGAAAAAAAAAAATGTTAAGCAAAAATTTCCAGTAAAATGTTTAAGTTTTAGGAGTTGAAACACTGTGAGAAGACAGAGATTGGAGATACAATATTCAAACAGAGCTGATAGATCTAGCCTTCACTTAAGTTCCTGAAAGTCCTTCAATCACTGCAATGACTTTGCATCAAATCTATTTCAAGATTATTTAATAGTAATATTAAGCTAATGTTTAATATTAATGCCTTTTTTTTTTTTTCCAGAAAGTCATAAAGAGCACAGCCTTAGAATAGTCTTCCAATGGGCTTGGTCTTCCCTATTAAAAAATTCATGGTATTCAACTTTTTCTTTTTTTCTTTTCTTTAACAGGAAGACCAGATCCAGCAGATAGCAGATATGAGAACTTTGCTGACTTCAGAAAGCTGAGTGTAACACCGACAGACTTCAGTCAAAGGAAATATTATCCTTCCAAGCAACTCATACTTAGACAACTTCTGGTAGCTTTAAATTAACTGGTTGTTCACCTGGAAAGATACTGCTATTGTTTCTTTCAGCACACATGGAGGAAGGTTACAGCAAACTTTGTAATCCTGGCTAATAAGACTGTGGCTTTCTTATTAAGAGTAGGAGGTGGGCCAACTGTAAAAGGATTATTTTTTACTTAGCCTGCAGGACTTTATCTCCGCCTGAACACTGGACATAAACCGGAGTCAATTTTAATGACCTGAGATTTTGCTACCTGTGCTTTATTATTGTTATCAGTTCTTTAACGCTTTGGTACTTTATTTCTTTAAATTAGAAATGGGTTTCTGGACTAAAATGTGGCCCACAGACTGGGCTGTTCTCATAAAATCATGGCTTATCTTTTCCCTGGGGCTGTACATGCAGGTCTCTAAAACTGTGGCTTGTCCAAAAGTGTGCCGCTGTGACCGAAACTTTGTCTACTGTAATGAGCGAAGCTTGACCTCAGTGCCTCTTGGGATACCAGAGGGTGTAACCGTCCTCTACCTCCACAATAACCAAATTAATAATGCTGGATTTCCTGCAGAGTTGCACAATGTTCAGTCTGTGCACACAGTCTACCTGTATGGCAACCAGTTGGATGAATTCCCCATGAACTTGCCCAAGAATGTCAGGGTTCTCCACCTGCAGGAAAACAACATTCAGACCATTTCTCGGGCTGCCCTTGCTCAGCTTTTGAAGCTGGAAGAACTGCACCTGGATGACAACTCCATCTCCACTGTTGGGGTTGAGGATGGGGCATTCCGGGAAGCCATCAGCCTCAAGCTTCTGTTCTTGTCCAAGAATCACTTAAGCAGCGTACCAGTAGGCCTTCCAGTGGACTTACAAGAACTTCGAGTAGATGAAAACCGCATTGCTGTCATTTCAGACCTGGCCTTCCAGAATCTTACAAGTTTGGAGCGTCTGATTGTGGATGGCAATCTCCTTACTAATAAAGGCATAGCTGAAGGCACCTTCAGCCACCTCTCCAAGCTCAAGGAATTCTCAATAGTGCGGAATTCACTGACCTACCCTCCTCCTGATCTTCCAGGTACACATCTACTAAGGCTCTACTTGCAGGACAACCAGATAACCCATATACCACTTACAGCCTTTTCAAAACTTCATAAACTGGAACGTCTTGATATTTCCAACAATCAGCTTCGGATGTTGGTAAAGGGGGTATTTGATAACCTCCACAACCTGAGACAACTCACTGTAAGGAATAATCCCTGGTTGTGTGACTGCAGTATAAAGTGGGTCACTGAATGGCTCAAATTTATTCCTTCTTCCATCAATGTACGGGGTTTTATGTGCCAGCGACCAGAACAGGTCCGAGGTATGGCGGTCAGGGAACTCAATATGAATATGTTGTCATGCCCCACCACCACTCCTGGTCTGCCACTTATCATCACCCCAGTCCCAGCTACAGCCAAGCCAACTGCATTAGTTTCCCCCTCATCCGTTCCTTCCCCAAGTAGCAGGTATAATCCTCTGACTCCCACCATAGTCACACTCCCCACTGTGCCTGACAGGGAGGACAGAGAAAGGGTGACACCTCCTATATCTGAACGGATTCAACTCTCTATCCATTTTGTGAATGACACTTGCATCCAGGTTAACTGGATATCTCTTTTTACCGTGATGGCATATAAACTCACATGGGTTAAAATGGGCCATAGTCTGGTAGGAGGAATTGTTCAGGAGCGTATAGTTAGTGGTGAGAAGCAACACTTGAGTCTGGTAAATCTGGAGCCCAAATCCACCTATCGGATTTGCTTGGTTCCACTGGATGCTTATAATAATTACCGAACAGGAGAAGACACTGTCTGTTCAGAAGCCACAACCAAGGCTTCCTTTTTGAACAATGGCAGCAACATCCCCTCCAGCCATGAGCAGACAACTTCTCAGAACCTGGGCTCTCCATTTCTGCTGGCAGGGTTGATTGGGGGTGCAGTGATATTTGTCCTCGTGGTCCTGCTCAGCATTTTTTGCTGGCACATGCACAAAAAGGGGCGTTACACCTCCCAGAAGTGGAAATATAACCGGGGCCGTCGGAAAGATGACTACTGTGAGGCAGGGACCAAGAAGGACAACTCCATCCTGGAGATGACGGAAACCAGCTTCCAGATTGTCTCCTTAAATAATGATCAGCTCCTTAAAGGAGATTTCAGACTGCAGCCCATATATACCCCAAATGGGGGCATTAACTACACAGACTGCCACATCCCCAACAACATGCGATACTGCAACAGCAATGTCTCAGACCTGGAGCACTGTCATACGTGATAGTGTGGGTAGATGGGGGTGTCTAGGACAAAGAGAAAAAACTCTGAAAAAGTAACATCCCCCCAACAACAATGAAAAAATTACATTTGATAAATGTTACGCAGATGCATTTATGCATTTGAATACTCTGTAATTTATACGGTGTACTATATAATAGGATTTAAAAAAGTGCTATCTTTTCTATTTCAAGTTAATTGCAAATGGTTTTGTAACTCTTTGCTTTTTAAATCTTTAAAAAATATTGCTAAGTACTGTACAGGGTTGTACAATAAGAACCCAATGTCACGGCAAAGGAAAGATTGACTCATTCTTCAAACATTAACCACTTTGCTGTCGAAGCTGTCTGAAGGATATTAAGTTCCTAGGTGTCCTGTAGTACAGGAAAATAAGTGCATATTAAAACAGGGTCACTAGGAACGGCCAAAAGCAATTCAGATAAAATGGGTACAACCCTTTTGACTCAAATCCAGCAGTTACTGTTCAACTTCAAACAATTTAAAGTACTTCTTTTCCCTTTTGTCAATTCTGTATTTCCTACCTCCAACTGAAAGCTGGAGTTCTGACTGCTACCAAAAAAGGCTACTTCTTGTATGATTGTTTTTCCCCAATATGCTTGGAATAGGAAAGGTAGACAGAACTCGGTGTCAAACTCAAAGTGACCTTGAATCCTATTTGCAAAAGCTATTCTGAAAATGTCCCCCAGTATCATATACTTTTATGTTAGAAACTGTTCCTGGTTTTCATTATGATTAAGAGGCTTTAGGCATTCTTTGACCCGTCTCAGTGGGAGATGAAGGTTATCAGTATGTAACAGATAGCTGTCATTAGGTTGCACCTCTCTTTAATAAAGCAGCATTTGTTGACACAGAATGTTCAGGTGAAACCTGAAAGAGAGAAATTCTAAGCACTCCCAACTCTGCAGTATTCATGTAGAATTTGCAGTCTAGAAGTGCAAATTTTGAAAACACGTTGCAAAATATAATGCCAATGGAAAGGTTGCCATTGACTTTTATGTTTCAAGCTCTGTTTGATTTAGAGGTCTGAGTTATGCTCAGCATGAAGTAAGAAAAACAGACAAACAAAGATAAATGAGAAATATATATATATTTTTAATTTTTAATCTTAATTTATTACAATTTATTACTGGAAAGGCCAGCAGGCCTATTGTGAACTGAACTACATTCAGCAGGGAAAATCATGTATAAATTAGTGTTTTTTTTGTTTTTTTTTTTTTTTTTCTTTCTGTTCAAGTGAGCAGAGATGAACACTAACTAAGGACTTTTTAGAACATAAATATACTCTGTCACTCCAAATTACCCTTCTTTTATGTTAAGCTTTTTGGAAGTTTTCCACAATGATATGGGCTTTAAAATCAGTAGGTGGGCTTAGAATTTTATTCCCTCAAATTCTATAGCTGGAATTGCTTCTAAGTGATGTACTATGTGAAACACCATGGTTGTATTAAAACCATGATGCTGATCTCAAAATTATACAATCTTCAAGAAACTTCATTAAATCTGTGACTGCAAAGAACTCTGACTTTCTTGCCAGCTCAGTGATGGAATTAAAATATTTTATTTTTTTTGTTTCCCCACCATTTTTTTTTTTAGCTTACTTTCTCCTGAACTTAGGGGCAGGGAAAAGTTCACAAAAAAAAAAAAAAAAAAGAGGAAAAAATAAAGTTGATTTTTTTTTTTTTTAAGGGAGTAGGGAACCAAAGAGAAAACTTTATACAGTGACCAACTAGAGATAAGTTGTTAGAGGTGGATTGACAGTAAAAGCTGGAGCACTTTCACATTGCAATGCTTAGACTTTTTACTTTATGAGACTGCTTATGTTGGGAGAGAGGGTTTTAATCCTTTCCTTTGCTCATTTCCTTAACTCATTCTTGAAATCCAGCAGTCTGTGAGTGTGCGGTTTCTCAAATTCAAATTGTGTAACACTCATTTTCTGCAAAAACACAATAAATCTAGTTATGGTCAATGGCAAAGTACAGTCACTATACAAAGAACTGCATCCTCCCCCCAGCACCTTTTAGAATCACAATTTGAATTTCCAGTCTATATTCTGTATATTTGCTATTTTCTTCAGCTATAACAGGTATTTTAGGCAACCTGGGTGGCTACTGTTATAGTAAAGTCACTGAAATTTTGCTGAATAAAAAGCTGCCATATGATTTCCAATGGTGTAATTCTAGGTAGAGATGTCTATGCAAAGTCTTTTATCTGTGACCTATTTGCTCTAGATTATGATGGGAAGGTTGATACTTTATTTTGTTCATTCAGTGTGTTTTAGCTGCCAAAGCCCAGAAGACAAGCAGCAGATAGTTGTGCTTCTGCATGCTTCCATTGCATGCTGGATCCATAAAAGCTTTTGTGAGATTAAGTAAAGACAGAGAGTCCTGTTGGGTGTGGATGTAGCATTTAATTTCACTGAAATAACTAGCTATATGTTTGATTTCAAAGGCATCCTTTGAATGTATGTACATACTAACATTTCATATTTCAGTGACTGATGCTGGAGGAATCTTTACACTCCTTTGAACATCTGTTCTAGGCCTCAGGATACCATGGAGTTAGGCGCCTTATTTGTAGCAAAACTCTTATTCAGGGAGTTCAGCTGTACTCTAAGTGAAAGATCCACAAGCCCAAACTGAAGACAACAAATGTGGTTATTATTCTAATAGGGTAAAAACAGAAGACATTCACAAACTCTTTGGGTTAATCTCAGATGACAAAATGTATGTGTGTATACATATATATATATATATATATATATATATGTTTGGAGTATCACTGACTTACCTAGATAAAAAAATCAAAATGATATTAAAGACAGCATAGTTTATGCTTCTTTTTGGTATGAAGACAAAGATATATTTTTATGTGATATTGACAAAATTTCTTTTCAATAAGTACACTTCTGAAAAAAAAAAAAAAAAAAAAAAAAAAAGTAAAAGGCCACTTATACCAAAATTCCTGGATAGAGCTGGGAGTATTATTTAAACAAATTCACAGCTGTAGTCAATGAAAAGGTCATATGTTGCATTTGAAGAATGTTTCTTCCAATTCTAATTGCTACCCAGCTGCAGAAGATTTCATTTATTTCAACCTACAGCAGAGTTTGGGATGTTTCGAAGTGTCAGTCATACAGACAACTGTGGCTTGGTTTCAAAACACATCTAGACAAATACATAATGAGCAGTTTTCACCAGATAACTTTTTTTTTTGGGGGGGGGGAGGGGGAAGAAGTTAAAAATGGACAATGATCTTTTGGTGATATAAATTTTAATAATCGGTAGCTTTTTCCTTGTGCTTATGAACATCTTCACTTAGTACCAATGTCTGACCACAAATAACTAAAGAGAACTATAGAGCAGTAGTCCTCAGTGAATGCATATACAACTCATTAGAAACCCCAAAACTCTAGGTCCTGATTTGCAAGGGTTCATTGAACCTGGGTGCAAATGAATGGTTTACATGCAACATCTCATCCATCATCCAATGTATGCTGCTAATAGCTGACATAAATGCTAATAGCTGATAAGATTGGTGAGTGGAAAAAAATGAGAGTATAAGAGAAATTGTGTTAAACTGGTATCAAAACACTGCTTTGTCCAGTGCTATGGTTCCTTCTGAAGACTTACTTATTTACAACCTGGACCTTGTTTTCACAGATTCTGTCACGTCCTTGCATGTAGCTTGTTAGCAGAAACAAACACCTAATGGATGCATGGACTTTTGTTTTTTACTGGAGACACTGTTATTGAATTTATTCATACGAATATTTAGGCATAGAGTTACTTTTGATTGAAAATATATTAGCATTTTTTTTCTGTAAGCCAATAAAGAAATACAATGGATGCGATGATAAAAGAAAAGTGCAATAGCTTATGCTATTTGCTACTAGAATAGATCAACTATATTTCTCTCTCAATCATTTTCTCTTTTAGTGAAAAAAAAAAATTCTCCCTCTAAGAAAAGTATTGATTTAATTTTGCAAGCAAAAGTACTTATGCATATTGTATTGTTACAATTTTAAGGGTCTACATAAGGCACTTTATTGATGACATTGAAATGAAAGTTCAGGCTCAGCTTTTGACAGTGAAGTGGTTAACTCCCATTAAATTCTCCATTTATAGTACTTTTTCAACTTAAATTATACCATGGAAATATTAAAGCTTTTTAATTTTTTTTCTTTCTTTTTCCTTTAAAGCATGAGAATAATGGTTTTAGTCATAATTTATCTTTCTAGCTCAGTGGAAAAACAAACAACAACAAAAGAATGTGCCAAAACCAAATGTTACTGGCTCTAAGCCTCATCAAATACTGCCTGATGATCTCTTCTAAATACAAAGATAATCCAATGAAGGTGATGAACACTCCTTCCCTGAACTCTGCTGAACAAGGCAGTTTGTATCCTACATGATACTACAGGCATTATTGAAGCATTTGGCATTAAATTTTGTACAGCATAGAATGTATTGATTTTTAAAAGGACACTGGCTAGTGGTCCATCTGGAAAACTAGTCCAAAAGGGATCTGGCTGGGGCTCTGTGGAAGTGTGCCTCATGAGAGCTGAGTTCTGATCCTCTCAGAAACATAAGCTACTAAATTTGTTGTGTCACTTGGTCCCAAATACCTGAAGATCTTTCATAAAACTGATTTTAACTGAAACATGCACACTTGATTCTGTTTTGTGTTTGGTATATTTTCTATCTTTAACATGGAAAAATAGATTATTTGAAGTCTGCATTATCTGTTTTCCGCAATCTGCCATGTTGCACGCATTGTTAACTTCGAAATCTCACTATACACTATATATTATCTTGTTGACATATCCAGTAAAGAGTTATTTAAAAAATACAACAATCCTACTGTATTTATATGAACAAGTTAATTAAAACAAGGATGTGAACATCTGAGAAGGAAAACAGAAAAAGAAAAATATCAACTTCTGTACTTTCAGTCCTGGAAATATTTTCAAATGTTTTACTGTATGTCCACCTTCTCTTCAGATTTGAAAGGACAAATATTTTCATCTTATATCTGTCAAAGAGTTAAACCATTTGTTAATTCAATTGCTCAAACTTAATCTTATGTTTATAAGGTATTTATTTTGATATGCATATAGGAAAGCACTGTAAAACAAGAACAGATTGTAATCCAGTGTTTGAAGTTAGTAGATACACTTAAGCAACTACACACATCTATAACAAATATATATATGGAAGCTGGGAAGCTGTGACCCATTATATGCATAGTCATTCAAAAAATGCATTTGACATTCATCCTTGACAATCTTAAACTGTCATTTTACCCATTTAAACTTTCCTTGAAATGAAATGTGATTTTTTTTTTTCCCAATTCTCCCTTCAAAATTGTTCTTGACTTTTCAGAATGCACAACATTAAGACATAAGCCTTAATAAATTTTTGTATATCTTATACCTAACATATATGGTAATATATACAGTATGTATGAAAAGATGCATAGGTACTTGGGAATGAAAATTCTCCTTAATCTAGTTACATATACAGGAACTATTTTTTGGCATTGACAGAACCTGAAATACTGAATGTTACAAACAGTCATTTTAAAGTTTAGAACTGTAATACTGCTGAGTGTCAAAATTCCTCTGTAAATTGTCTCATTCTCTGTCTTAACCCTGAATGCCATGGAAAACTACAATATCTGCTGTGCAATACATCCACATCTACACTACTCTCTCCTCCCCTTACTATGCTTCCCTGAATTTGGAGACATCTTAGACCCTGGTACCTAAGTTAACTTCTTGTTTTACCATGGGAAGGTGGAGAATAGATGTAATAGAAATATAAACACTGTTGACTATTTTGGTATTCTGGCAAAAAATAATTGCATCATCATTTTCAAGCGATGGTTTTGTTTTCTTTGTCTCAAAAAAACCTGACAAACACAGACACAGATAATCTAATAATATCCCTCAGTGATTTATCTTAGTAGAGACCAATATTTACATTTATTTAGTTGTAATATTAGTTTTCTGTAGCTGTACACATACATGTGTGTGTATATAAGTTCCTGGGGCTTTTCTACAGAGGAACTCTCAAATCAACCATATGGAAGAGTATATTTCAACAGTTTTCAGTCAACGTTTTTCACTATCTCATTTTGAATAGCATGCTTCTATATAAGAAAAGTTATGGTGCCATAAGGAGAGACTACATTCAGTCATTAAAGTATGAAACAAATATTTTAATTCTGTTTGAAGTACCAATGTCAAAAAGGCTCAAAAAGAACCACTAAAAATTCTATTACACAGGTAGATGATATTTTAACTGTAATTTACGTTCTTAAAACAAATTAGTACAGTGTTATGTACTCCTTGCCCCACTAATTTCAACTATAAATCGTAATATTTATAGGTATATGTCAGAAGGATTATTGAAAAAATCCAGTATGCTATATTGTGTAATGTCACATTATTTCACACAGTATCCTCATGCGAAATACATTTTCCAAGCAAGACAGAAGGCCTATGCATTGCATTATAAGCTTGCTATCTCTTTTGAAAAGGTAGGGGTGGAGTGAAATACAAATACTTCATAGAAAATGAGACAAGAGAGAAATATATATAGCACAACATTGTCCAGTCCAAAGCCACACAAAATGTAGAATTTAAAATCCCCAAATAGGCCACTGAACATAGCAAGAATGTTCTTTTACGTACAGACACATTTTCTGTTTAAAACTCCATATGCTAGCTAACGTGTGACTATAAAAATGCATGTGTGAGTTTATATTAGTTACACTTTTGTGGGGGCATCTCATATAGAATAAGTACAATCTTGTCTCTCTGAAATTGCTCCATTACTTACCTTATTCATACATAGAAGTGATGAAGTCAAAAGTCATGCTCATTACACTATCCTGTTTTTCCAAGCATAGAATTCCTTGAAGAATGAAGACATATAAAATATTATGGAAAATCCAACTCATATGAACTGGTGTGCTTACAACTTGGATATACTCTGTGCAAAAACAAGACGTCTCTGAATAATAATCAATGTGTTAAGGTGAACGTCTAGTCTTGAAAAGCACAATTGCCAGAAACATTTCATTAAAATGCTGTATTTCTCAAGTGAAATCAATATTTCAACTTCTAGAAACTTTGAACTGGTGATCTCACAGATAAATAAAATTCTTTGTGACTGGAAAAAATGTACCTAAAGAATGGAATAACCTAATTTTTATACTTTGAAACAGACTACCGATGAAGGAAAAGGAAATTTTGTCCAGTGAAGATGAAATATAGTAGTAATGATGAACAGAATGCAGAGATACTCCTCTTTATTTTTATAGTTATAAGTTTGTAACATAACTTTATTTTTCCTTTTTTTTATTATTATTATTTTTTTTTAATTTCCTTTGCAATTTTTAGATCACTTAGGCCCACTTCTAAAACATATACAATATTCCAAAACAAAGAAATTCTCAGAAATACCTGTGATACCTTTCAATGAATAGAATTAAGAAAATGCAATACATATATTATTTACAAGAAATGCACAATACAAAAAAAAAAAAAAAAAAAAAAAAAGTGGAGAAAAGGATGACTGGCAAACTAGAATATCCTTCTGTTTCTAGTTATTATAAGTCCTTCCAAATTTCTAACCCACTCACTTGAATTTCAAACTTTGGCTTGACCTGAAAGTCAAATGATTTAAATGAGTCTTACAAGCCTGACCTCATATATCTTCACAAACTGGTTTGTGTATTCACAGTTCAGGAACTAGCATGTAATTCATTGCTCTCTGACTTACAATGCAAATGTTAAGAATTTTTCCCCATTAAAGAAACATGTTAAGAAAATTTGAAAGCTGTTGTGAAATCAAGTACTGCAGTATATGTTAATGTGAACATAATTTATTCAAGTAGAGCATTAATATGTCTTTGTAAATAAGGACTGCAGAAGCAATTCATAAACATTAACTCAGTGTTTTTGTTTTTGCAAAAAATCCTTCCTCACCAGTACTAGATACTACTACTAAATGCTGAAAAACATGTGTGACTTTCCACACATATATGACTTTAAATAAATGGAAATGGAAATCTGAGAAGGGAGAGATATTCCAAACTATTGCAGTTATTCTAATAATGTGCAGCTGAAAACTTCAAAACAAGCAAAAAAAAAAAAAAAAAAAAAAAAAGTATTGAAGCTTTACTTATTAAATGTCTTACTAAGTATGCGTTCTGCTTGTAATGAGTCAAGGCAGCTTTTCACTTTCACTAGGTATTCTAGTCTTGAAGTCATTCGTTTATTTTTGCCTGATTACAGGGAGTAGCATCAGGTTCATGGTCTCAGATCTAGTTGGCCATGATGTTCATGTTCATGCATGAGGTCTCTCATGCACTGATATAATGTCATATGTGAAAAGTTAGAGAGGTAGTCTACTTTCTCTGTGAGATACCTGCTCTCATGACAAACTTATAGTTAACTATATTTCTATACCTTCCTCTATTGGTTTTGGGTTTCCTCTTTATAATTTAACATTAAGAACAAATGGAAAATGGAATTGAGTTATTAGAGCCAATTTAAATTTGTTTCTGTTAACAACGGCCAGACTGTCCTTCTTTTTCACAGAAGACTTAAAATGTAAGAAGACTGAATTAAGAAAAAAAATATGTATATTCAAGGATTTCACTATTTATTTTAGGTTAAATTCATTATTTTTCAACATTTAATTACAGCAGTCATGTTTGAAAGTTTTGCTGGGAAGATTGGATAATCTTAGATTTGTGGTTATAAGAACTTCATGTTTATAGTTTAAGTTATTACAGATTATTACCAGTATCTGTACAAAGAGAAGGGGACAAGTATTTCTTCTTCACTCAGATACAACAGACTGTATCTGATCTGTGTTCTGTAGTGATCAAGAAGGAGGTCAGCTACTTCACAGAGATGTCTCAGAGAACTAAGTGTCCAGAACAGAAGAGAAATAACTGGAGTCACGGCATTTCTATTTGATGACTTAGGAAAGCTGGCAGAATTGGAGTTGGAGCTTTTCAGTAGGGAACAGAGAGTACAGATCCTGTTCAGAACTTCTGGTTTGTACAGGACCCCGTGAAGGTACCTTTATTACATCTTATTGGAGGTCTGCAACAAAATGCCTATCAAATCAGGGAAGGATATGAGTTTTATTTTATTTTGTGGGCTTTTAATTACCATTTCCTGTAAGTTCTGGAGTTTCAGGTGCAGCACTACGTTGAAAGAAGAGTATGTAACAAGGCAAGCTTGAAAGGTCACATCTGTGATGACTATCCTTTTATCAATGCAAACATTAGTAGCTGCTTGTCAAATGAAATTACAAGCCACAGCAGATGTGCTTGGCAGGTTAGAAGTCAGACTGGACACTCCTGTTTTCAGTTTAGATGTCTATTACTACTCTCTACCACTCCTTTTCCAATTTTTTTTTTTCTTAATGTTTGGAACTAAGCAGTTAGTACTATCGTTTAGTTGTCACAATATAAGGTGAAAAAAAAAAAAAAAAAAGTTATAATAGAGCTGCAAACACTAGTGAAAATTAACCAGCAAAACTAAGCTGCAGAAATTCTAGAAGTACAGTGAACATGAGGTAACAAACTGTATTTACTGTGATTTCAACTCTCCATACCCAGACAAAAATCCAGAGGTACTAATCCTACAATTCCCCTTGCATTTACGTGATTTCTACCATGCCATGTCAACTTTTTTTCTAGCATGATTAGCTTAGAGAACACATTTTTGCTTGTTGCCTCACAAGGTACTGTCTTTAAAAGTGTTTTTATTTAAGATTAAGACAAGACAAGAAATGTTCTTTCCTTAACTGCCTGCAATTTGGGGCTGCTGCAGAAGCAATTTGCTCTGTATCTTTCTACTGCACCATTTGTCTCTCACCATTTTTGCACACATGTTAAGACATGCACATACACACACAATCACACTGTATTTATAACTATTATATATATATTTAGATACTCAGACATACACATAATATATATTCTATATGTATATATAACATATACATGTATATATAACACATATGCTATGCCTGTGTATAAATTGTTCAGCCCTATACAGATCTTTTGCTCTAGATTTATGCATCATTTCTGTTCCACTTACACTCCACAGAGAGAGAAAAGATATAGAATACCATATTTTATTTTTTATTTTTTAAGAACTTTGTTGTCAGTATTGGTGAGAGCATATTTTCAATAATGTATGTTCTTTGACAGCCTGTGTGCTAGAATAAAAAGATTAACATAACTCCTGGAAGTGGATACAATGCAGTGAAATATAATTTCAAGTGCACAAAGCACAGCTGAGGAATCATTTTATAGCAGGACTGAGTGGTTGCTGAACTGCAGACAGAGGAGGATGTGAGAAAAGTCAGTATATAACAAAAACTCAGTATGAACAAGCAGGGAAAAATCAGATGTTTTGATATCCTTTGATATCGTATCTTCACCTTATGCTATGAAGAACTTTTTGATATATCGGATTGTTGTGGGATGTCCAAAATGAGGGCCTCCCTCATACCTGAGGGTATGCATTTGCATCAAGCAACACAGATGATCAGTGTTCTCCATTGCCCACCTTTTATTGTCATTTGTTCTCCTCAATTCCTTACTCTAACTCTTCAAAAAAAAATTTGCTGAAATGAGCCACATTGCAAGTGTTCCATGCCATTACAAGAAGACTTAGAAATTTGCAAGTGTTTGCAATTTTGGATGTTCTCTATTTGCAACAAATATGTAAGGAATGTCACACGTGGCAAGAACCTTGACACCCTTTGTTTTGTTCCATGATATTCCCCTTGCATATGGCTGCTGAAATGAATTATGGAAACCTCACACTTTACTTCTGCTGTTCATATGCAGCTTAGGCATCCTGACTCCATAATTAAAACAAACAATAATGTCAAATTCAAGGACTGGGAGCAGGAGCTACTGGCCTAGGGTCAATTACTGGATGCCTAGCCATGTAGTAGCCTACAAGTCAAACTCTGTATGCCCCATAACTAGCTCCAATTACCTATACTACTGCTTTCTGAGCCAACCCTGATGGAAAAACAAGATCACTCCTCTTGTATCTACAAACTTATCTACCCTTTCTTTCCTAAGGTCATCAATTGGAATAAAGATATTATCTCTCCCAAGGTGAGGAGGAAGGGATAAGGGACAGAGATTCTACGTTTTCTGCACCTCCCATCCCTCCCCCCACCCCTGTACAGGTGTTATTACATATTACTTTAATTTTTAGTTGTTTATTTGCATACTGTGTTTTTCATAGGACTTCTGCCTTATTCATTACTCAAGATTTCATGTAAATCTGCAAACCTGATATACCTCTCCTTTAAATACCTGTCAGTGAATTTTAAAATATTTTTTGTTATGGGTTTTCAGGGTTTATTTTTAACCCATAATATTGCATGCATATTACTAAATCTTTCTCTTATATTCAGAAATATAAAGGTATATAAATTGCATGTTATCCTAGAATTTGCTGGCAAACTTCATTGTTTTTCACGTAGAGTTCATCCCTGCTAGTAAATGAAATTATATGAGTAACAAATTTCCATCTAGTTTCTAAAGTTTCTGTAATAGGCTACTCCAAACTTCAGAGCTAAAGCAGTATTAGTGGGAAAAAAAAAAAAAAAAAAAAAAAAAAAAAGGATTTGGAAGACAGAAACTGTTTGTTCAAAATTCATTTAAAATAAGTATGGGTCCAAACATAAAAATTCTGTTCAAATATGGGATAGTTAGATATAATTGTAGTAAATATGCAAAAGATCTGTATCTGAGCAACGTCTTCTATCTGTGGGATTTAATTACAGTAGCTGATTATTTTAAAGGTCTGTATTAATAGACCACTGACAATTTTCTGTCTGGGTTGAGAAGAACAAATATTTGATAGGTACATTTTTCCAGCTATATATCTATGTATTTTCTAAATTAGAATCACTTTTTTTTTTTTTTTCTTCTCCCAATGATACCAATGTAGCAAACAGAGTTTAATCAGGAGACAATATTTATCAGTGTTTCAAAAGCTGCTCTTACTATGAAATTGTAGATTTATTGTTGAATTGTTACATTGATTGTAAAGGGTGATATGCACTCATGTGGATGTAGCTTTTGACAGCTGTTGAAGAATGAGATTGAAATAACCATAGAAAATAGAAAAGTTATGAGTAAAGCACAAACATCATTATTACCCTGTTGCGTACAGAGTATTATATAACTGAAATAACAAGAACTTCCCTATGTTAGAATTTACTGCTTGCTCTAAAGTGCAGCTGCATTTTCTAATGAACATTACGACCTTTACAATTTTCTTCAGATAATATTTCCCATAATTGTTGAAAACTTGTGTTTCAGAAACCACTGACTTTAGAAGGGTTTATTAGTCATATTAAATTCCAGTCCTGTGGTTTATTAATCTGCTCCCAGACCTGACATTTCTTTGGTTATTCTCTCTTGGATTTGCTCACATGTTTTTTCCTTTTGTTTTTCCCGCTTGAGTGGAGCAGATCATGGGGAGTATATGTTGAATTTTTCCATTTGCAAGTTCTTCTCAGGGCAAGAGGGAGAGAGAAAAAAATATGATAGGTCCTTTCAGTTCTCTGCTGATGATTCCAGAACAGTTTGCAGGCAGCCCCATGTGCACATCTGAAGAGTAAAGCAGGTGCTGTGAAAGGGGGGGATTACAACAGGATAATGGACCGTCACCATGCCTCTCGGTGTCACACTACTTTCCACATGTGCGTCCAACTTCCAATCTGACGTGTATCAGCAAAAGGATCAGTGTTGATAAACACAACTCTAGTGTGTTTATGAGCCCTTTGGGCAACATGAACATCATAGAGGAGTTTTAAACCTGGTTTATGAATTTAGCTACATATTCTTTGGTTCCTGTTCACTAACTATATGCACTCTATACTTCAAAACAGTCTAGGACTATAAATTAAACTGACAAAAGTCGAAGCTTTTGGAACTTACAAAGGAATCAGAGTTAATGCTAAAGTCTTCAGTTTGTACATATTATGTAATAGTTTATATCATATTTTTAATAGGAAATCCATATCCATTCAGAGTACTTGAATGTATCTCCTTTTAATAAATATATTAGCAAAATCTGGATTGCACAGGAACTTAAAAGGGCTGGAATGGTCTGTGGATCACATTACTGACTTCTTGAGAGAGAATTATTCTAACAGAGTCAACAAGCTCTGGACTGAATCCTGAATGCAGAAATGTATCTTTAGCCAACAACATGTTAACTCCACTGTCAAATTAGAATAATTTATGTGGAAAGTCATTGAGGTCAGTTACGTGTTTTTTTTTTTTTTTTTTTTTTCCTGTAAATCCATCTATAAAATTCTAACCTTCAGTGTCATCTAGTGCATAGAAAATAGAAATTTGGACATGAAAGTGCTAATGGTCCGAAGTCTTCATGTAGCCTGATTGTGCTTATAACGGAATAAGGTCCTTTACTGGCCTTAGTTGACTAGTTGACATCACATCCAAATTTACTACCTATTTTATAGGTCAATTTTGATATCCCTGAAAACATTTTTTGTCCATGTTTGCATTTCTTTAACTGACCATTGATGAATTATTTATTGACACAGTTTCTCTAGTGCCAGCCTGTGACATATCTTTTACCATCCCATGCCTTTATTCCCCTATACTGTATCCTCTGCCTCCTCTTTATTATTTTGCCATATATAGCTAGGCTGGAAGATCTGCCCTATGAAAAGAGACTAAGGACAATGGGGTTGTCTAGCCTGGAGAAAAGATAACTAAGAAGAGACCTCACTGCTCTCTATAACTTTCTGAGGCGGTGAGATGGTTACCTATGACAGGATGCATGGGAATGGCAAAAATCTGCACGAACAGAGCAGAATTCTTTACTGTGAGGGTAGTCAAACACTGGAACAGGCTTCCTAGTGAGGTGGCAGATGCTCTATGATTGTCAGTGTTCAAGAGATGTTTGGAGAATGCCCTCAGTAATATTCTTTAACTTTTTTGGGGGGCAGAAGAGGTTAGTCAGTTGGACTAGATAAACTTTGAAGGTCCCTTAGAACTGAACTATTTTCTTCTCTTCTTAAGCCTTCTGTTATCATACAAGGGATGTATTTCTCTGCATTTTCTGCATTACATTAGAGTCATGATTATCTCATTCCATACAGAATAACTACTTATTATAATTATATCTATAAAGCTATGGTTATAAGAAGATAAAGGGTATTAAACCTAACCAGGCATTGTCATCTGATCATGAGAGAAAAATATTGTTACAGCTAAATCAAGTCAAAGAAAAACTCCAGGAAGACTGAGGCAAGATCAGACAAAATAAGCCTGACAAGCTGCAGTACTGAGGCTTTATAAACTCAGAACATATCCTGTCATCAATTACTAGCAATGGAAATACTGTATTACTGGGCTATGGGATAAAACAGATAGCATGTGCATTAAAAATGCTGCAATACAGTCCCAGTATATCCTAGTTTAGAGTGTCTTGAATATTATCAAAAAGAATCAATTTAAGAATTAAAAGTGTAATCTTAGTTGTTATACTTTATAAAATGGCCTAAAGTGTTTAAAGACATAATTAAATCTATGCTTTGTTGTTATAGTTGTTTTGGTTTTTAGTTAGTTTTCGACTACCACTTCTCTACAATTAAAGGTAGTCTAAAGGTAGTCTAAATTTAGTCTAAATAAAGCATCCTGAAAGAAAAAAGTACTGCAGAAATCCATGCCAAAATAGGTAATAGAGCCTGCAGTGATTCAGCGATCATAGATAGTGAAAATCTATTTCTGAGAAATCTTTACAAGCTGCCAATTCCACTTTAGAAGACACTATCCTTCTCAGTGTGATGGTTGGCTTCCCTAATGGGATTACGTTTCTCACAGGACTTTCCTAAAGTCTTAATCTTATGTTCTGTTTATTTTTTCTTTCTTTTTTTTTTTTTTTTTTTTTTTTTTTTTTTTCTGAACAGATTTTGAAAGTATAACTATATCGACATTTGAAGTAAACAATTAAGTCTTGCACTGAGATATTGTTCTCTAAGTGAAAAACTTAGTGAATCATTTTATCTTGAATTTTCAAATAGCTAACATAATTGAAGGCGTATTTGTATGGCAGCTCTAAAATTCTTTATATTGAAAATTTTTGCTTTCATTCCTCCAGTGATCAAATGAAACAATTTGAAGTTGTTTGCAAAACAGTCTTCTAATATAGTAAAAACAAACTCCAGAACATGCTGCTTTGCATCTGATCATTGCTCAGCTGTTTGTCTTCCATATGCCTTTTCTCCTTTATTCTTGAAAGTGACTTGTGTTTCCAGCTCATATATGATACAAAAATATATATTTTTTAAAGCTTGGGGAATTATGTTTTAACTAGGGGAAGGATGCATTCTAGTCACACATCTGTGACCTCCCCATCCCTATACGTATGCCTATAAACCACATTAAATCATTTTTCAGTTTATTTATAGTTTATTTTCCAAAGCTTTGCACAGCTTAGACTTAAATATTTCTCAGCCATGCTACTACATCTAAATGTTTTCTATTTTAACTGCTTTACTTTCCTTAAAGAAAAAAAAAAAATATTAGCAGCTTCTCCTTTTGATACTTCAATAATTTCCCTTCTGCCTAGTTTATATGTGGAAGTCTGCACAGTTTATATGTGGAAGATGTGGTATTCCATGTATAAAGAAATACTATAAGCCTGCATCCGTTTCTCTTCATATTTTTTTTTAACTCTTTCTTGTTGTTTCCTTTTATTAACTTTAGTTCTGTAGAATATTTAACTAGCCATATCACAGAATTCCTACCCAAAATGTACTGCAAGCAGCTGAAGTGTCTGAGATCCCAGCCAGAGTTCTCCCTCCACAATAAAACAGTTTCATAAGCAAGCAATGAAGCTGAACTGCTATGATTTTTTCTCATATGTGCCATATTCTTCTCCATTCTTCTCTCCCCTCTTTTTTCCCCTCCCATTTCCACTGTGTCCCTTCTTTTGGCTTACTGCCCACTTCCAGTACAATATTTCTGTTTTGCCTTTCTGTACCTTCCACATTACCTACCCTCTATTAAATAGGGAGGTAGCTGGAGAACAGGCAAAAGATGCTGTAGGTGACTGAGAGATAGCAGTGATGCAGTGCCTGCACAGTCCCAGTGCAGGGCTGCGGATTATCTAGTAGGCTGTAGCTTTCTCTTAGAAGGAGAATTTATAGTCTTTTCAACCTATCCAGTAATCAATTTTCACACATTTTTGAGCACCTGACTGTCTCTTTGAGAACTTTTTATTCTCGCACTTGTTTAAAAACAATGAACAAATACATTAAAAATAAAAATAAAATTGCAGATACAACTGACAACCTGATGGGCAGATGCAAGACACTGCTTTAGAAAGAAAGCAATCCAAAAATGATGAAGTGGTGCTGCAATACAGTCATCTAAGGAATTATACTAGATGAAGCTGAATACCGAAAAACAGAGTAAGCAAAGACAAAAGACAAAGAATATCAAAAAGGTTGTGTTCTGAGTTGTATTAACAGCAGTGGCACATATATGAAAGAGAGAGAGAAAGAGAAAGGGAGAGAGAGAGAGAGAGAGAGAGAGAGAGAGAAGAGAGAGAGAAGAAGAAAGAAAGAAAGAAAGAAA